TTTCCTGAGTTTGAATGTTAGCCTATCTTGGTATGTTGGGGAAGTTCTCCTGATAATATCCTGAGGTGTGTTTTCCAAAGTGGTTCCATTCTCCCTGTCACTTTCCGGTACACCAATCAAACATAGGTTAGGTCTTTTCACATAGTCCCATATTTCTTAGAGGCTTTGTTTGTTCCTTTTAATTCTCTTTTCTCTAATCTTGTCTTCACACTTTCTTTCATTAAGTTGATCTTCAATCTCTGATATCCTTTCTTCTGCTTGATCAATTAAGCTATTGATACTATTTATAATTCATGAAGTTCTCCTGCTGTGTTTTTCAGCTTCATCAGGTTGGGTCTGTTCTTCTCTGGACTGGTTATTCTAGTTATCAGTTCCTGTAACTTTTTATCAAGGTTCTTAGCTTCCTTGCATTGGGTTAGAACATGCTCCTTTAGCTCATAGGAGTTTGTTATTACTCACCTTCTGATGTTGACTTCTGTGAATTTGTTAAACTCATTCTTCATCGAGGAGCTGTGATCCTTTGGAGGAGAAAAGACATTCTGGTTTTTGGAATTTTCAACCTTTTTGAGCTAGTGCTTCCTCATCTTCGTGGATTTATGTACATTTGGTCTTTTCTGTTGGTGATCTTCGGATAAAGTTTCGACATGATTGTTCTTTTTGTTGATGTTGATGCCATTGCTTTCTCTGTGTTAGTTTTCCTTCTAACAGTCAGGCCCCTCTTCTGTAGGTTTGTTGGAGCTTACTGGAGGTCTACTCCAGATGCTGTTTGCCTGGGTATCATCAGTAGAGGCTCCAGAACAGCAAAGATTGCTACCTGTTCCTTCCTCTGGAAGCTTCTTCCCAAAGGGCACCTGCTAGATGCCAGCTGGAGGTCTCCTGTATGAGGTGTCTGTCAACCCTTTCTGGGAGGTGTCTCCCCCTCCAGAGGAACAGGAGTCAGGAACCCACTTGAGGAAGCAGTGTGTCTTGGGCAGAGCTCCACCATTATGCTGGGAGATCCACTTCTCTCTTCAGAGCTGGCAGGCAGGAATGTTTAAGTCTGAATGTTTAAGCTGAAACTGAGCCCACAGCTGCCCCTTCCCCCAGGTGCTCTGTCCCAAGGAGATTGGAGTTTTATTTGTAAGCCCCTGATGGGGGCTGCTCCCTTTCTTCCAGAGATGCCCTGCCCAGAGAGGAGGAATCTAGAGAGGCAGTCTGGCTACAGTGGCTTTGTGGTGCTGCAGTGGGTTCCACCCATTCTAAACTTTCTGGTGGCTTTGTTCACACTGTGGGGGGAAAATTGCCTACTCAAGCCTTAGTAACGGTGGATGCCCCTCCATTAAGCTCGAGTGTCCCAGGTTGACTTCTGACTGCTATGCTGGCCGTGAGAATTTCAAGCCAGAGGATCTTAACTTGCTGGGCTCTGTGGGGTTGATCCACTGAGCTAGACCACTTGGCTCCCTGGCTTCAGCCCCCTTTCCAGGGTAGTGAATTGTTTTGTCTCACTGGCATTCCAGGCACCACTGGGATGCAAAAATAACTCCTGCAGCTAGCTCAGTGCCTAATTGATCACCCAGTTTTGTGCTTGGGCATAGTATCTGAGGTGGATAGCACTGTCCTTCACAACAGGCACCCTCACGACTTCCCTTAGTTTGGGGAAGGAGTTCCCTGACCCTTTGCACTTCCTGAGTGTGGTGATGCCCCACCCTGCTTCTGCTCACCCTCTATGGGCTGTACCCATGTCTTGCCAGTCCCAATGAGATGAACTGGGTACCTCAGTTGGAAATGTAGAAATCACCCACCTTCTATGTTGGTCTTGCTGGGAGCTGCAGACAGGAGTTGTTCCTATATGGCCTATTGCCTGGGAGTTCCCTCATTTACATTGTTATAGGCAAATAAAGAAGAATCCCTTCAAGATTGTAGGCAGGTCTGAGAAGAAAATATTTTTATTCTCGTATACTTGTAAATGTATATACAAAATATCAATACTCTTTGATGGGACGTAACAGAATCCAGAATCTCTACCACCTATGATTCATCATCTAGAATATAATTCTAATTTACTAGACACATAGAGAAACAGGAAAATTATGACCAATACTTAAGAGAAAAAGTAAACAATGAAGATGAACTCCAGGATGACCCAGATTTGGAACTAGAAGACATGGATTTCAAATGTTCATTAAAACTATGCTCAAAAGCCTACAGGAAAATACGAGAGCCAGTGCAATGGCAACTGAGACATGGGTTTATGTGTATGCACTCTATTATTCATGTAAAATAATGTTACTTATTAAAGTAATGATGACAGAAAATAGCTTGATTATGCACATTGAAAGGAAGCATTGATTTTGAGTTTGTTCTCAGACATTCAGATATAATAAACCATGATTTAAAAAATACCCTGCTATGAAGACAATAAAAAAATAGGTATAAGTTTCCACTCAGAGACCTTGAAGTTGACTTAAATCTAAATGACTGTAATAAAAATAATGAATTTCAGATAAATAGTATTAAAAAATATCTGAAGCCCCAGTGGTAGAAAGTTTTATTTTTAGATTTTGGGAAGAGAGAATATAAGGACAAGCTTCAAGAAGGAATAACAGATGAGATGAACCTCGAAAGATGTTTAGAGTTTTTATATATACAGGTATGATGGAACGAAGATTAGCATCAGGTGTACAAAGTGAAGGAAGTTCTGATTATAATAAGCTAAATTAGCAATCTTTAGCTCTAGGGCATGGTTTGTGACAATGTAATAGGAGACAATGTAAGAAGAGTGGGTGGGTCCAGATTGTAGAATCTGGATCCAATAGTTTAGACGCCATTCTGAAGATACCAGGGAGTCAATTAAAAGATAAAATACAAAAGCTCAATATTATTTCATTTAAAAACCATAAACCCAGAAAGAATTTCTATTGTTTATTGTTTATGATTGTTACACTTACACAGTACAAAAACAAATGAAATCACTCTTATAATTTTAGTGTAGGACTCTAAAGTCTATTAAGAATTAAATTATCACATGATAGAATTGAGGAAGAAAAGAATTTTAAAATGTGCTATAAAATTTCTTAACCTCTTGGTTACAAGATGTATATATATATGTGTATTTTTGTGTTTTTCAAACTATAAGCTCATATATATAATATATAACCATATTATTTTATGTATATAATATATATACATTATATATAAACCATAAACTTGTGTATATATATAAAATATTTATACTAAAACTATTTTAAACTATATTATTAAAAATATATTTAAAATATTCAATAATATATCTCTGCTATTTAGTTTTCACATGAAGTTCTAGGATCATGTGAATAAGAATAACATAGAGAATGTTGCCAGAATAATTTTTTTTTATAATCTGACCAATGATCAAATGCAGACATATAAAATATAATATATGTACACAAGAGTTTATGGTTTGAAAAATATTTTACTGCACTATTAGAAAGAGTCCATCCCTGTGACTTCTTGGAGTTTGGGAGTATGGGAAGCAAATGTAATTTCATCTCTACAAGTACAATTCATGCATAAAATATAAATTAAAGTTAAATTACATAGTGCCAAGTTTGCAGAAGTAAGTGAATATTTCTTTCCTAAGACCTTTTCTGTGGCCCTTTCTCATGAGGAAACTCAGACGTTCTGTTTTCAGTTTGTTATTAGGCAGTTATAAAATTACAGTGAAATTTTAAAACTATTGATACAAAGGTAAGGCATGGCAGAAAGTATCTTAGAGCCCAGTGTGATGTAAGAAAAATCTTTTGTTTTTATAGTATTTCAGTTGTTTGAGGTCTAGAGATATTAGTTGGCAAAATTTGGGGATTTAAAAATGTCAGACTACTTCCCAGAACAGGAAGGACAGTGGAATTTTATGCCTCTCTTTTCATAATGCTTATTTAATCTTTCACATTATTCACTCCTTATCGCTAATGATATAAAGGAAAGAAACTTAGACATGTGGCCACACTTTATGTTGCATACCAGTGAATTATCATGTGATACTTGTTTGACTTTAAAAAGCTAATGCAGCCCCCGTGTTTTCCCTTACATTTGTTTAGTGGCATAAAATGGTGCCTCATAAACCCGCCTGGGATAATACAGCTTAATATTCACATAAATATCTTCATGTTTTATAATTTCATATAGTACATTTTGTTTGAAATATTTTCTCTGATGGTCTTACAGTAATGGTTCATGAAAACAAGGCTCACTCCAGATGTGAGTTGCTCTTGCTATGATAAAGTTGTCCTTGTAAATTAGCCCAGTGTTTACAGAAAATGGAGGATCATTGAGAAATGGAGAATGGATCATGGAGAAAAATTGTGACTTTCCTTCCAAAAGGGAAAACCATCCAATGAATCTGGTATTATCAGCTTATTTCTCCTTATTTGCTGGTTTATGCTATTAATATATTTTAAAGTTCACTATTAAATCAAGAGCAGAAAGCTAATGAACTTTAATATATTTTCATGCACTGGTGGTCAAATTATGATAATAAAATGCCAGATGGCAAAATCATCATAAAAACAATGTAGTCACTTTTGTTCTGTTTTGCTCTGGGTTTCTTGAGAGGCACAAAGTGCCTCTCAGAAAAAAAAAAAAAAGATTTTTTTTTTTTTCAAATATCCTTGGTGCATCTCTTTAGTATTTTGATATCTAAATTCCCTGACAGACAAACTCAAACATATTCTCTACTTTTGTTGAATTATCTCCTTAGGTTGTTTTTAATTTAAATTAACATTTCACCATAAACCATAAAACAAAAAAGGATGAATAAATTACAAAACTACCCCCTTCATGATGAATATAAAAATATATCACACAGATATCCTTGAACTCATTATATTGCTTTCTTAATCATCATTACTGTTGACTTTAAATTTGCTTAACAGCACAACTTCTAAAAACTATTTAATAATATATCTTCGGCTACTCAGTTCTCACATAAAGTTCTAGGATCATGTAAATAAGAATAACATAGAGCATGTTGCCAAAACAATTTATTTTTACAATCTGACCAGTGATTAAGTGCAGACCACTTGTTGCCTCATACATCTTCCATTTTTGCACTGACTGAGAAAGTCTCATAACACCTAGTATTTTTGAGTTACATGCCCATACCTAAGGCAGTCCAACTCCTTTCAATTTTTAGGGGAAGAAACTAGTACATTCTTGTCATCCCATTCTTTTCACATACTCTGGGTACAACTTGTCTTTAGATAAAGGTTAAATCTGTGACACTCTCTGATTGATGTCTGCGAGTTAAAGCAAACCTACAGATGCATTTGTAAAACAGTCTGTTTCATAAGCACCTTGCTTTTATTTGAATGAAAATAGGAGTTCATGAGCTCATCCTCTAAAGGATGTAAGGGATTTGAAGTTGTGTCTCAGTTGATTTATCAGCATGTCCCTGAAGTGATCTCCCAAAAGAAAATAAAAGACTGGGTTGATGACGCTGTTCAGGAAGGCCAAAGGTCGTGTCACAATGTACAAGGAGTTGATGACGACCTGAGTGCATTGATACTGCTTCCAGCTCCCCAGGCGAGAAGCGATCCTCACATTCCGCATAACATGGTAGGGTGTAAAAAGCGCAGAGAAGATTACCACTGCCATGATGACCAAGTTGAGAGGCTTTTCAAGGGTCAGAGCAGTAGGAACCTGCCTATTCCTCTGCTTTAGGAAGAGAGCAATCTTATAATAAAAGAAACACATCACAAAAAGAGGAATAAGGAACCCCACCAGTGTTAGACACATGCTGTAAATGAGGTTGTACTTGGGGTCACCAGAACTTGCAAAATCATTACAGGTGGTGCCATTGTCAGTTATAACAGGATTTATAAGGGGAAGTATGGGCAGTAGCTCTAAGGTTACTAAAACCCAAATGGCCAAAGAGATTAAAATAGCAAACTCTTTCTTTTGCAGAAGGTGTTCTCGGAAAGGATACTTAATTAGCAAGTATCGATCTATGCTGATAAAAGTGAGAAAGAGAATGCTGGTATAGAGGTTGGCATGAAGCACATATCGGTTGCTTATGCAGAGCACGTCTCCATACATCCAGTTTTTCTTGGCATAACTCCTCATCAGCATGGGGAGGGTGCACAGAAAAGCTAAGTCCGAGATAGAGAGGTTAAAGAGATAGATATTACTGCTGTTCCAGTTTTTCAGACAGAATATGTAGCCATAAACAACGATCGTATTTCCCAGGATTCCCACAATGAACTCCATTCCATAAAAAATGGAAAGGTAGTACTTTTCCAGGGCAGCCTCTGCTGCCAGCCAATTTTTGCAAGTTGCATTCCATGCCTAAAGAAGAGAGAGAAAATATAAGAATTAAATACTAGACTCTGACTAATGACAAAACTGTGCAGAACATAATAATAATGAAAAACACTTGAATGGTGAACTATGGAAATAGGTTACATTAGTAAGGAAAGCATACACACATATACATATAGATATACATGTATGTCATTAATGTATTATTTTAATAAATAGTTTTGAATACCTTTCAATTATGCGCTGAATATAATTTCAGGCACTGTAGATAACAGCAGTGAATAAATCAAAGTTCCTAATCTCTAACAGTTTACACTCTCTTGGGAAGAATCAGGAAATAAACAGTAAGGGATACCCTATAATGATAACTGCTATGAATAAAAACATATGAGAAGGTAAAAATGTTAGAAAATTTTGGGATGGAGGGTGGTAGTGAGTTACTTTTTACATGTGGTAATAAGATAAAGGCTTTTGTACAAGAAGACATTTAAACAGAAACCTCAATGAATAAAGTGAAAGAGACATACCTATATTTGCAGAAGCGTTTCAGGAATTAGGAAGAGCACATGTAAAAGCATTAATATGGAAACACACATAGAGGGCTTGACAAACAGCAAAGAAACAGAGGGGAAGTGTGATAAAATAAGTGAAGAGAAAATTTTGAATTCACTTTTGCGTCTCCCAACATACCATGGTCCCCAACGTACCATAGTTGTTCAACAGATTCTTCTGAGTTAAACTGAATTAAACCATAATCCAGAAGAGGAAATAAGAATCTTTAAAACTTCAGTTTCACTATTTTAAGCTTTTACTTGTTTCCATATTGCCAAAGAATTCTGCTTATTGTATTAAATTCATAAACTATGATATGACTCCAGTTTTAAAACTTAATTTTTTGAAATTGAAAATATGAAACAGAAAATCTTAGTAATATTAACATTGGTCATGATTTATTGAAAGATGACATGCCTCAGACTGGGTAATTTATAAATAATAGAAATTTATTTCTCACAGTTCTATAGGCTGAAATGTCCAAGATCAAAGTGTCTGATTTGGTGTCTGATGAAAAGTCACCCTCTGCTTCAAAGACGATGGCTGTTACTTCCTCACAACAAATGTCAGAAGGAGCAAGGCAGCTCCCTTTAACTTCTTTCTCAAGGGTACCAATCCCATTCATGCAGGCAGAGTCTTCGTGACTTCATCACTTTCCAAAAGGCCCTACCTCATAATATTATTAGGTTCCAACATACATTTTGGGAGACACCAATATTAAGACCATGGCACTTGGCTTGGTCATATGCTTAGTAAAAGACCTTTGTTGTAATGCCTTCTGAATATGTACTGCGGAAATAAGCTATCTGACTTACTCAAACCTCAAGTGTCTTGCTAACCTACACTTTTCCTCTTGTCATGAGACCAGATTGTGATTGGGTAGGGTATTTCAACAACTTGAATTATCTCAAAAATATATTGAATTTTCATTATTAAGTATTAAATATTTTTATTTCTAGTCAGGAAACCGAAGATTGAAAATAAAATGTTCTAAAATTCTCCTTGTAAAGGAGGCTTTGGAGTATTACTCGCAATCAAAGAATTCTTTCAATATAGAATTTTGGTAAATAGAACAAAATAAGAATAAAAGCACCTAAACCACTTTTTTAAGGGAAGAATGCAAAATTCAGTACACTTTGCTACTATAAGGCATCTGGAAAACTCAGATGTATTTTTGTCAAATTCAAGTGGTTGACTTTAAAGATCATTGCTATTTTGAGAGTGTTTTATTTATGCAAATAAGTCACAGAATTATAGATACCATAAGTTGAATATTTTGAAAAGTTATTTTTAATCACTTTCTTTAAAACATCAAACATTTTTCTGAGTCCCTGGAATCCTTCTAGGGCAACCTGCCACTAAGTCCAATTCTAGACAAAGCTGAATGGGAACTTTCTCAAGCAGCAGACACAGAATGCTGCTGAAGAATAAAGCAGATTGCTTTCACTCTGTCTTCAAGGTTACCTAATTCTACTGTTCTCTTACATTGCCAGAGTATTTCCATATTTCTCTCATTTGATATTTTTTAATCTCTTAAAACTCTTCTCACTTACTCTACCTTACTCTTTATTAGCAAATAGTTTTGCTTCCTGGTTCATTGAGACAGAGACCATTTGTTGAGCTTACGCTAGATCCAACTCATTCGCAAATTCTCAGCATTCTATGCTACCATTATTTCCTCTTTTCTGACTCTTCAGCATCCTTCTCTCCATCTTCAGTCTTCATCTCATCTTTTCCATCAGCATTTAAACACTCTCATCTCTTCAGTCTTAAACTGGAGCAACACAAACAACTCTCCCTAGTTTCACATGTTCTTCTCCTCTTCATAGTTTGATTTCTGAAAACAGCCATCTCACTAAGTGTTTTAACATCTTGACACCCCATTCCCTTTAAACTTACTCCAATTTGGCTTCTGATCTACCAGTCCTCCAAGTAGCGTCCACATTGCTCAATCCAATAATCATTTCTCACTAGTCTTATTTTATTTCTCAGTTGTTTTTCATACTACATCTTCCAGAAACACTCTTCCATTGTCTTCGGAGACATGACAATATCCTCGTTTTCATTCTTTCTCCTTGGTTGTTCTTTGCAGGGACTTTGGGGCCCAAGTCCTCTTGGCTCAAGCATTAAGTGTTGAGTAACTCAAAGCTAATTTCTGGACTCCATCTTTCCATAGATTCTACCTGAATTATCTCATTCATTTTTGAGGTTTAGTGACCAACTATACATCAACAACTCCCAGATTTCCAGCCCGGCTTGGATCTGCCTTACAAACTCTAGTTTTTTATTGCCATTGATTGATTTCTCTTAGGCACCTTCGCTTCCAGAAATCCTATACTAAATTCTCCAAGTTCCTTACCAAGCCTGCAGTATATTCACCTATTTCAGTCAGTGGCTCTCCCATGTGCCCAGGTGTTCGCCACAAAAATCTAGCAATATCCCCAAAGTCATCTAAAACTTAACACCAATAATGAATAAACTACCAAGTCTGTTTACTGTAATGTCTGGATATTTCTCAAATCTATCAATCCTGCTCCATGGCTTTCATTATTATTTCAGTCCAGGCTACTCTCATCTCTATCTTGTACTATGTCATAGTCTCCTATTGTCTCCTTGCATCGTCTCTGGCCCTCATCAATTCATCTTTACCATTATAACTAAACAGTCTTGAAAAACTACAATTCAAAATTGGATCATATAGCTTTCCTTAATCAAAACCCTTAATTACCTTTCCACTATCCAAGGAATGTAGTCTAAAATCCTTAAGGGGGACATCAAGGTCTTCATGATCCGGCCCCTATACCCACTTCAATTTTGCTTGGCCTTACTCTTCCCCCTAACTCATTTGTTTCTTGCTGCTCTTTGAATGCAGAGAGAGCCTTCTTATGTGCAGTTCCTCTGTCTGAATCTCTTTTCACTGCTGTTTTTGTTCTATGATACCTGGTCCATCATATATTTGTCTTATATCTACACTTCTTTCAGGCCTCTGTTCAAGTGTAGGTTTCCCAAGATAGTCTGTCTGACCCTCAGTCTAAACTAGATCCCCCCATTTTTGCTATTGTTTTATACTAAACTTCTTAGAATTTTTTACAACTTTGTCTTACTCATTTTTTAGTGTTCAAATCTGGCACAGTGACCAGCAGGTAACAGGTGGTGTATAAATCTTTGTTGAGTGAAAAGATGAATATAAACACCTGACTATTCACAAAGCATTTTTATAAGTATTTTCTCCAAGGCCAAATAAGTAGCAAGACAATCAAACTAAGCTCATTTGCTCTATTTCACTACGAAAGCCAACACTATGTATAATATAAGTATTCAAAGCTGGCAATTGTAGTAGCGGTAGTAGCTGTAGTTTAGAAACACATTGTACAAAGTAAAATAAAATATCTATCTTCGAGGATACATTTTTAAATTTAAACATTTAATTGAGAAATGACACCTAAAATAATAAACATAAGAAGTCTAGAAATAGATGCCTCAAAGTGTTAATGGTTTTATCTCTTTTGATGAAATTGCAGGTAGTTTTTATTATGCACTTTCTCTTTTTATCTAAATTTCCCATCATTTTTTTTTCTCTCAAAATAGGCATCTATTTGATCATTTTAAAGACTTTAAATTTCTAGAAATATAGCAAAAATGTCAGTGGACTGTTTAAAATATTAACAAACTTCATTGTTTAGCTCAATGGTCAGTTTTCACTATTGATCTTTATTCTCAGTAGCATTTAAGTCCACGCTTTCTGGAAGCACTCTCTTCCTGTATTCGTGACAAATATGTCACAGAAAGCAGGAAAAAATCTCCTTGTTTTCCTCCTTTCAGGCTCTTTTGTGGACTAATCCTTCTTTGCCAAAGTTTAATATTGAATCTTCTAAAGTCTTAGTTCTGAACCCTTGTGTTGTTTTGGGGGTACTTAAAAAGCTGGTGCACAAATTCCAATGAAAATTAAGATACGGAAAATTCTATGACACAAGAAATTTGTTTCATTTTTGCATTTCCTTTTTTTCTGGTCATAACGTTTATCTTTCTGCCTAGTCAGCACTGCTAATGTTAATAGCTTACGTACTGTGCACAGCAGAAAGATTTGACTGCAATGGAAGGAAAATATAGCCACAAAGACTTCCCAATTTCCTGTAACTAACACTCAGGTAAGTGATGGGTCACATAAAAGTCAAGGAGCATTCTGCTGTACAGTAGTCTAGAAGGTTGGATATTGAAAGAGTAGTAGGGGTGGAGAATACCAGAGCTGGAATAAGAAAAATGAATGGCTAAATCATCATATTTGCCTTGCTTCTCGTAGAGTTGTTTCTTTATTCTTTTAAAACCAACTTAAAAAAAAATGTATGTACAAAATTCTTGTTAGTTGTGTAACACTCAAAAAACCAAACAGGCAAAAACAAGAAACAAAAATTGTCTATAAACAGACCACTCCTAATATTTACGTACTCTTCTACACTTTCATATTTATTTCAGTTTATATTTACAAAAATGAGATTGTTTTTTATGATGTTTTATAGTCTTTTTTTGATAAATTTGTTTCATTCTATTTTTTAAGTTCATAATTCTAATAGATTATGGTTTTATAAATATAAGATGTCCAATATTTGCAGACCAATTTAGCTTCACCAGGATACACAAGTTTGAAGGTACTATATTTCAAATTGGATATATTTGTAGTCAGGTATGTTTTTAGTGTGGCATCATGATTCTATAAACATAAGAAGTAAGTTGCTCTTTTAAGCAAAACTTCCAACTGAAGAGAAAATTCTGTCATGAAAATTAAAATACTCTCTTCTGCTTTCTAGTGGTTATATTCTTAATTTTTAGGAAACGGAAGTAGTGATGAATTGTAACTGATTTGGATGAATTATTTTAAACAGATTTTTATTTTTAAGATCGAAATTAAAGTGAAATCATTAGTTCCTAGTCCAAAAATATATCTAAAACCGTTAGAATTATTGAACTGGAAACAATACCTAATTTACTCACATAAGCAGATCAATAATTCTTACTCGTTTTTAATTTAAAAATGTTTTTTACTTTAAATATATGCAGCCTTTTGAAGATGTGGCATTTTTGACATTTTCTTTAATGTATATATATTTGATAGTTTCTAGGCTTTTCAGTTGTTTGCTTTTATAGTCATCACAATTAAACAAAGAATATTTGCAAAATTTTTACTTTTAAGTGCTGCCTTAATGCAAATTCACATAGTAATACAATTTTTTTTAACAAATTACTTTTTTATTACTAAGCAATTTGAGTAAAAATATATATTCACACTGAAAAGATAGAATAATTTAACACTGATAACTATTTTTATATATTCCATACATTACACCAGAAATTAAGATATTAAAAGGTAACAGTATGGCACAATTGTGTATTAATTTCTTTAAAAATACCACATACATCTTGAAAAGTTATGGAAAGTAGAATATAACTGATTTCTACAATTTTTTATTTTTCCTAAGTAAATTATATTCTTGGATAATATAATTTTCACAAACATATTTGTTTAATTTTTAGGATGCCTGAAAATTCCTTCAAATACATTATTTTCTAAACATAAAAATATGTCTGGGCATGGTGGCTCATGCCTGTAATCCCAGCCCTTTGGGAGACTGAGGCAGGTGAATCACCTGAGGTCAGGAGTTTGAGACCAGCCTGACCAACATGGTGAAACTCCATCTCTACTAAAAAATAAAAAAAAATTAGCCTGGCGTAGTGGTGGTGGGGGCCTGGAATCCCACCCACTCAGGAGGCTGAGGCAAGAGAATCACTTGAACCCGAGATGTGGGGATTGCAGTGAGCTGAGATCATGTCATTGTACTCTAGTCTGGGTGACAAGAGTGAAACTCTGTCTCATATATAATATTTATATTACAATATATTTAGTAAATTAATAAATATATAATACATATATATTGTAAATATAATACATATATGTAAAAACCTTTATATATATAGAAAATACGTGATTGTTTCAAATGATTTAGGAAGTTTAATATTTTCTCCATAAGTAGCTATATTTATTTAAGTAAATTTGATTATTATTCTTGTTGAAATATAAATTGTTGAGATGTTAGCAAATATAATAAATCCCTTTGAAGAAAGTAAAATTAGTATTTGACAACTAAAACAAGAAAGTTAATTTGTTGAAAAATAAATGTAGAGATATAAATAATGTCTTCCTTTTCTATTCTTTTGCTGTTTTACATCTATTTATAAAGAATTAATTTAAACAATACTTAACACCTTAATTGCTTACAGGCCACCTTTAGAAGGATATCTGGCCTTGCTTCATACACTGAGAGACACAATTGGCCATGCAGCTTACCATTCTGTTAGAAGACCTGATCCCTTCACAGAAACTCTGCCAGCAGCTGGATATAGCTTCTGACCCAGCGCTGTGCCGCTGGACATGGTTAGTACAGTTTTATTTGCATATCATGCAGCCAAGATTAATAATTCAAAAGCCCAGGAATTATTTATTCAGTCAAACCTCCAAGTCAGAGATATTCACTCAGGGGAATTTTTGTGAGGCTTTCATTTTCACATTCACATTTATTTTATTTTTACATTCAGTTTTCCAACTGAATGACAAAAACCAAATAACTCATTTCACAGAAAATGCATTTACCAAATAGATTTTTGAAAGACTACTGTTGAAATTATTTTATCCACTACCAAAGCAACAGAAAAGCATTCCTTATTTTCGTTTTTATTTGCATATTTAGACAATCAGAGGTGGTAAATACTGTTTATTTTGGAATACAGTTGCCTCTGCATTTCTTTATTTTTTTCAAGTTAATATTTTTTGGTGAATTCTATATTGAGAATATAATAATGAAACTTCTTTTTTCAGTAACCTTGAGGGAACTATAAAACTGAAATTTTAGAAGGAAACCTGGATATATGCTACATTGGTGTACTCGTAAAAAGATACTAGAGCTCAAGTTATTTTCCATTTTATTTTCTGTGATTAAAGTCAAGTAACACATAAAAAGATACATCAGATGGCTAGGGATTAGGGAGAGAGTTGCGAAGTAAGATAACCATGATAGATGGCAATTTATATATCCTAATCAATGCTCTGTAAAACATGGAAGTACATTACCACCATTTCAGACAAGAAGCACACCTGACTTTTTCTGAGCATTATATTAGATGTAGATTCAAGTAAACACTCAGGCTTCTTGATGTGAAGCATAGGGATTATACTGAGAAAGCCCATAATTGTGCAGGCAGCAGTAACTGAATTTAAATGCTATGCAAGTTGAATATTGAGTTAGCAATGACAGTTAGCTCAATAATAGGCTCTGTTACAGGCATCCTCCTGCTAAAGTGTTTTCCCTCACCAATATCTGATAGCTTAAAACTCAGAAACTTCAAAGTAGCTGTATACACATACATTTCTACATACATATGTGTATATATTACACACTTAAAGTGTATATATGTGTGAAATAGAAATATATTTACATATATATGAACATTTATGTACAGAAATATGTGTATTTACATGAAATAAAAATATCTATAATTTGTTGAGCTCTTCTGATGTGCCAGGCAGGTATTACAGTAAGTACATTTATACATCAAATGCATATAGTAATTCTCTGAGGTTGTTATGATTTAAGATTTTTCTCATTTTGAGGATTAAAAAGCTGAGACTCAGAGAGGTTAATTAACTTTCTCAAGATTGAAGAATCAGTAAGTGGAGGGACCAGAGCTTAAGCCTATATACTTGGATTCTAAAAGCACTAACTCGGATTCTTGACTGCCTACAGGATTCAATGACAATACCCTTGTGCACAACAAAGTCTAAAAATTAATAACAGGTATTTTTCAGTAATGCAACTCTTTTCTACTTTTAGAAGGAAGAAGGGTTAAAACATTGTGGGCTAAAAGCGTTTGAATAACCAATGTCAGGCTTGTTAATTTTAGACAGAAATAACATGAACCTCTTCCAAGAAACAAAGACAAATGGATGTATTTCACAGGTTTCTGCCACCATTCTGATGGAAGAAAAGGGTGATTCCCTCTTTGTGGGGTGGTAGGAGTTACCCAGAGCTTCCTGTTTCTTCTCCACACTTCCTGACTACTATCTCACTCTGGTCTATGCTTCTCCTTTTTCATAGCATAAGTCATCCAGACTGTAGCCTGGTGGCCTTGTTTCCCTCTCAAGTCCTACTTCCTGTCGCCTCAGAATATTCTCAGTTGAGATCTGGAGTGTTTCTGGGAATGATTTACTAAAAGGTCACCAGTATTTCTGCTACAAAGCTTTATGCAGGTCTAAAAAGGATAGCTGCACAGAAACAAGGCTGGATTCAGGATTATAACCCTGTGAGCAGGGAGGGTTTCATGGCATGCTACTATGTAGTCTCACAGTGCCTCACACTCAAAAAGATCACACACATAATTTAATGCTAAACTGTCTTACTCTTAATTTAAATGTTCCATAATTTCTTAACAAGGGACCCCATATGTTTCTTTTGCACCGGGCTCTATTAATTATGTAGCCAGTTTTGCCTGTGAGAGTAGAAACCTCCTCAGAAACCATTTCGATTTAGCATATCACATCAAATTTTGAGAAGGCAAAGTTTTTGTTGTTGTTGTTGTCTTACACATAACATGTTGAAATACAGTGCTTGAGAATCAATGGAAGTTTGAAAGGCAGTGAAGTTTGCAGTACTGGCCGGGCAGGATGATTCATACCTGTAATTTCAATACTTTGGGAGAACGAGGTGGGCGGATCACTTGAGCCCAAGAATTGGAGACCAGCCTGGGCGACCTGGCGAAATCCTGTCTCTACAAAAAATGCAAAAATTATCTGGGGCATGGTGGTGCGTGCCTTTAGTTTCAGCTACTTGGGAGGCTTGAGGTGAGAAGATTGCCTGAACCTGGGGAGGCTGAGGCTGCAGTGAGCCATGATTGTGCCACTGCCCTACAACCTGGGAGACAGACTGAGACCCTGTCTCAAAAAAAAAATTAAGTACAACAATGAACATTTTAAAAAATATGTATTTTTAAAAGCTTGCAGTACTATTTGCTAGGAGGTAGTATAGCACAATGTTTAAGAGCATAGGTCCTAGAGGCACACTGCTTTGTTTCAAATATTGACCTCACTACTTATTAGCCTTCAGTTTTTGTATTTGTAAAACAGGGATAATGAGAGTTACCAATGTTATGAGTTGTTGTGTACATATTAGAAGTACATATGCTGTATAGTATGAGGTACTAGTATATACATATGCTGTATAGTATGAGGTACATATTGGTTGCTAAATAATTGTTAGCTATTATAGAAATTTATAACAAATGAGAGAAGACTTTCTCCAGAATGATAATGGTAATCCAATGCCATTGATGTTAGAATTCTTGCTGTTCAGAAATATCCATTTAAAAGGTTCTTATAACAGCCAACATGGTAAAGAGATTAGTGAGATCTTATCCTGGCTTTGCCTTTTACTAGTTGTGTGATCTTTGAAAAAGTCACATATCCTGATTTCCTTGTTTAGAAAAGGAGAATAATAATTCCACCATGTAAAACTCATAATGTTCATAGTATCATATGTATGAGTATCACATGTATACATATGATACTATGAACATTATGAGTTTTACATGGTGGAATTATCCATATGAGTACCATATGGATATCATATGATAGTATCATACTCTTAGTATCAAATAATATAATGTTTGAAAATGCAATGGGCTCTAAATTAAAGAGTAGTTCATGTAAACCAAGCAAACTAATCAGGAAATTCAAGAAAAAAAAAAAAAAGAAATATACTAGAAATCTTAATTAAATCCAATGCTAATTCTAACTTCTACTGGGTCCGGTCACTCACACCTGTAATCCCAGCACTTTGGGAGGCCAAAGCAGGAGGATCACTTGAGCTCAGGAATTCAAAACCAACCTGGGTAACATAGCAAGACCTACTCTACTAAAAATGGAAAAAATTGGCTGGGTGTGACGGCACATACCCATAGTCCCAGCTACTCAGGTGGCTGAGGTGGGAGAATCGCTTGAGCCCAGGATGTCAAGACTGCAGTGAGCTATGATGGCATCAACTGTACTCCAGCCCAGGCGGCAGAGTGGGACCCTGTCTAAAAAAAATTAATAATAACTTCAACTAACATTTTTTTCAGCAGTCACTCTATAACAACACGGTGTATGCATTAATTCTTTTAGTATTCACAATAATTTAATGCAGTGAATACTATTAATACCAGAAGTTTCAGTTGAAGAAACCAAGGCCTAAAAAAGATTAAATAAATGATCCACAAATATACAGCTAATAATGATTTGGCTATATAATTTAATGCTTTGTCTGTTTGACTCCTGAATCCAAACCCTTCTCCATTATTCCCCTGAGTCTCTCATGGTAAAGAAGAAAATATTTAAAAAGAAAATATTGGATTGAAATATAAAATTATTGATACTGGAACATTTTTACCTTATATATGGCAATTTTATATGGTTTAGTAAAATAAGTTTAAAGTTAACACTAAATTTAATTATTAGTTATAAAACTTTGATTATCAATTTATTTATTTATTTTCTGTTGAGTTGAAAGATCTTATATAATCGGGATACTAGACTCTTATCCAATATATAATTTGCAAATATTTTCCCTAACTCTTTTTTTTAAACATCTTTTTTTTTTTTTGGAGAGAAGGAAAGAAAAACAGGAGTGAAGGAGAGGAAAAAAGAGGAAGAAAAAGAAGGAGAGAACGGAAATGTTGCTTTATTCTAAAAAATGGGTATTAATAATGGCCGATCAATATTTCATTTAAACCTATGAGTACGTGTGATGTGGTATTGACAAGAATGTATATTTTGTATATTTAAAGTGGAGAGCTCTGTAAATATTTATTAAGTTTACTTGTTCCGGATCTGAGTTCGAGCCCTGGATATCCTTATTGATTTTCTGTCTCATTGAGTCAGTTTATCAATTTAATAATTTAAATATTCCAACTAAAAAGAATAGAGCATTTTAGATAAGAAATCAAACATGTTAGAAATAAACAGTTAAAGTATTTATAGAAAGATTCTCCTGGCAACATCTCTGGGAATGTTTACAAGACACATTTAACAGACCAAAAAGTCTGTGTGGAAAACAAAGTGGTTTAAGGGTCATACTAATCTTCAAGGATCACAAGCAGAGAAAGAGGAGGGCAACTCATCTAATTTGAGAACCTTCCTCTAAATCCGTAAGGAGAAACTATAATAGTAACAACCCCCAAAGGCTGAAACAAATCAAAATTATTGGGGAGGATATTTAGGTTTTTCTGAATAGGCAGAAGCAAGATTACAGTTATTTTCTTTTTCAAATAATGGTTTTATGTAGTAAAATAATAAAGAACAAACAGCAAAAGGAAAAACACAGTAGAAGGTATTTTTGTCTCAA